TTCCTCCTCCATTCCCTAGCAAAGCCACTTAAAGCCCTGGACATCCGTGTTTATGTCAACAGAGCAGTTGCCACAGAGCGTAGGCTCCTGCCCGCCAGGGGGTGTCTGCAGCCCGAAGCCAGTTGTTTGTGTTCCTTGTCTCAGTAGTGACCGGAGGGGCAGGCACGCCCTGGCCAGGTCTCTGGGGCAACGGGCTGTTGGGGTCCCAGCTGTCCCTGCACATAAAGCACCCACTCCATCACTGTGCCCCCAGGGTGTCGTCTTACACGGTGAGAATCTAAACTTTCCCCTGCCGAGGCTCCCAGTCTCCACCAGCCCCTGTCCTGCCCACGGCTCCTCTCCCAGTCGGCCAGCACCCAGGAATGGCCGTGCCTGGTGCTGTCTCCTCCTCCTTGGCCACCAGGAGAATCTCATCAGGTTTTCAGAAGAGACCATGGGGAGTGGGACAGGCCGTGGTGGGCTGCAGCTCATCTTGGGCCTACCCCTGGCCCTGCCAGCCACCTGCAGAAGTAGACGGGGCCTATAGAGAAGTCCCTTTGGGGTTTCTGACCCCAGGAAACTGAACTATGCTATTTGCCTTGGCCCGGAGACACACACACACCCCAACACCAAACACCCCGAGCCTGTCCCCCAGCCAGAACTCCTTCGAAGCCTCCTCAGTTCCCTGCATCTCCCTGCCTGGCTCCCCTGGTCCCTAGGGCCCTGGGGCAGGAGGGATTGAAGAGCGCGAATCTGAAAACAAGAAGCCCTACCTCAGAAGCCACTTCCCCTCTGGGCCTCAGTTTCCCCACCAGTGAAACAGGCATCATAGTACATATCAGCTACCATAAACAGCCCGTGAGGGTCAAGGAATCCGTCTACATGGGCTTAGAGTAACTCAGCGCTGCATCCAGGGCGCTGCTAATGCCAGCGCTGCGTGTCACCAAATGCTGGGCGGCAGCAGAAGGCTAGAACTTGGAGGCTGAGCAGCTGGGTTCAAGTCCCAGTGCCCTGCCAACTCCATGAAGCCTTGAACAAAACACCTTACTGCCCATTTCCTCCTGTGCAGGAGGGGATTGCAAGAGCTTGCCCCAGAAGGGTTAATGGGTGCTAGGGGACAGTCCTAAAAAGAGTAGGGTAGCAGCTGCAGGGGGAGGAGCCAGGCCCTGGCACCCGATGCAGAGATTAGCTGTTGCACTTCGGGGCCTGTTGGGGAAACTGCCTGCCTCAGACTCAGAAAGGAGAGCCAGAGACCAGCCAGGAATGCAGGTCCCTAGGAGGTGCCATAAATAGCCAGAGCCAGGGCATTCAGAGGCCTCCAGGGCTGGCAGGCGGGGTGGGGCCTCCAAAGGAGACCTGGGAAAGGGAGCTGTCCCCTGGGTCTGGGGGAGGCCCAGGCGCGCTCCTGAAGTGTTTAGGAGTGAGGGGTCACCGCTTGGGGAGGAGCCGCGCAGGGCCCACTTCTGGACAGCATCCCAGCCGGGTGACCAGAGCTCGCCCCTGCTGGCCCTGTGCTCTTTGCCTGCCCACCCTGCCCCTTCACGGTCTCTTTTTAGCCATCCAGGAGTAGCGAGTGAACACGATGAGTAGCCTGCATCCCAGAGGGAAACGGAGGCCCAGAGCTGTCAAGGCATCTGGCCACAATCACACAGGGAGTCAGAGCTGAGATGGGACCGGCACGGTGCTTTAATCCAAGATTATGCAACAGAGGCAAACAATAAGAATCCTCCTCAGGGAGGAAGCTTTTGCCTCTGGAGGAACAATGAAATGATAGATCTACCCGCCCACCTGAGGACATCTGACTTTCTCTCTGTTGGTGTGAGCACATCCCTGTAGCTTAGGAAACTCCCATTTCCAATGTATTAGAGATATCAAATCAGAGGTGTTTGGGAACAGCCTTGGAAATAAGGCAAGACTTAGGCTCAAAAGACCTGGACCTAAATCCACGGTTATTTTGTACAAATCACTTCCCCTTCCTAAGTCGCAGGTCCCTAACTTACAAAATAAGGTCAATAATGCACACGGGCATACAAATGCTATGCCTGACTGCCTGATTAATGCCGCACATGTTATAAAGACTTCAAGACCTACCTGTTCACCTCTATTCTTGGTGTGTACTGCGTAGGAACCTTCCATACATGCTGACGTCCGGAAAATGACATAAACTCTGCATTTCAGTGCTGTGTGTTTGCATCATAATAAACGTTCTTTGTTATGGATCAGTTGCGACTGCCTTTTGGAGACACTATCCCTTCTACCTTGTGCTTGATTCTCCTGGGAAATGTTTGAAAACATCATCTCTGGGCCAGAGTGCTTTTAGTAACCAGCCTAATAATAGGCAGGGTGATCGCATCATTCTCTGTCCACATTGGAACGCCTCAGAGGATCGTGCTTGTCCAGCTGGGAGACACTGTGACCGTCGTCGTGGGCAAACCAAAACGCTGAGCATGGTGCTAATCACATGTGCTGCCCAGAACGCTCTGGAGCAGGGGACCCCAAATATGCATAATCTCCAAGTGTCTTCTCTAGCCAGACCATGCCTGCCCCCTCTGTTCCACCACTGAGCCCAGTTGCAGCTGTCTTTAGGCCGGTACCCTCTAAGGCTCTTAGATTCCTCTTAGCTGGCAGGTGCCCCAGGCACCTCCTCCTCCATTCCCAGGACATCCCAGTGTCTGCGTTGCCCCAAACACAAATGCTGTGGCTCTTGCTAGACACCCATCACACGAGGTACAAAGCCTCCCGGCTGTTCCACTATCTTTTCCTCTAACTTCAAGGGGCTTCTAGCTGATGCCCTGCTTCTACTGCTTCCCATCTTTGGTCCAATCCCCAGCTCAACAGCTCAAGTGGGCCTGCAAGGAAGAAGCTGGACTGTGTGTACAGACAATGACTTTGCAACGCACACGGAGAAAAAGCCGGGTGCTCAGAAAAACCCACCGCACCCCGGCCTCTTGGGCTCACGTTGTCTCTTTGCCCTCCTCTTCTAGGTCTCTCCAGCCACGCAGGTGTGGGCACCAGGAACGCCCCCTCTCAGGGCCTTCACACCTGCCGTGGTGCGCCACATTCTCCTTAGATGTTCCCTTGCCCCTTTCAGATGGTTTCTCCAACTGTCTCCTTTTCAAAGTCCTTTCCTGGCCACCCAATAACACTGTCAACTCACCCCTTGCTATCACCTACTGCTCTCCTTCCCCTTAGCATGACCAGCATCCACCAAACAGAGCATGTGTTTCCCTTCTCTTATTTATCATCCAACTCCTTCAGCTCCACGAGGGTGGGGACTCTGCTGTGTTCATTGCCACCATCCCAAAACCTGAGCCAGCCCCTGACATCGATCGGGTGCTCAATGAACCTCTTTTAAGCAGGTAACTCTGAGGGAGCAGGACCAGAGGTTGCCAATGCCCTCTGGAGAGTGCACAGCTCGGTTGCCAATCTTGCCCCACTTATTAGGAGCTGTGTGACCTCAGGCGAGGTGTCCCACCCTTCCGGAGCCCATCGCCCACGTGTGACGAGGACGGAACTGGGCCCGCCAGGGCAGTGGAAACCTTTAAACTCTGTCCAGCCCCTTTCAAAGTCTGGAAATTCAGAGGCTGTCACAGACAACTTGTCACCACACAGAGAAATCAGGGACCCTGACTTGAACCTCACACAATCTGTTCTCAGCCAGTGTTCACCTCCCCTTCTCCCTAGGACGCTTCTTCCCTATACCTGGTTTACCTGGTGTAAATTGTGATGTCTGTTTGCAATCACCCATTTCAATATCCAATTTACCCCCCTTTGAATTGAGAGAGGGTTTTCTCCCCTAAATCTCAGCATGTACCCCAAAATGTACATGTACCCTCGTGTACCCCAAAATCTCCTCTCCCCCACCAGAGCTGGAATATAGGGTGAGAAACAAAGGGGACAAACCAGGTTGAGACAAGGGAAGAGGCAGGAAAAAGCAGGCCAAGGCTCCCCACCTGCCAGCTTCCTGTCTCTGCTACTGATAAATAGGGGCTGCTCGTGGCCAGAGTTTCCATTCCCCATCCTGGCACTGCTGTCACTCAATTTTAAGAAGACAGAAGGTGAGGACGTGGGGGAGGGGCGAGAGGCCCGGTTATAAAGCAGCGGTGGAGGGGGCAACCGGAGCCTGGCCTGCCGGGTCCTCTTTCCTCATCCCCAGCCGGAGCTGCTGACAGCTGCTTGGGACACTGCCGCCACAGCCTGGCCAGCCCCACAGCCTCTCCGCAGTCTCTCGGTGACTCCTGAGCCACAGTCCCTCATGGCCCAGAAGGAGGAGGCCACGGAGCCCGCGGCGGCGGCGGCTGCTCCCGCCTCCCAGAATGGGGAGGAGGACCTGGATGACTTGGCCAACCCTGAGAAACTGAAGGAGCTCATCGAGCTGCCGCCCTTCGAGATCGTCAAGGGGTGAGATTCGATGTGGGCTGGGCGGGGTCCTCCTCCTGGAGAGAGTGGGCTCGGACAGGTGCGCCTGTGTCAGGCGACACAGCAGCAAAGCTCTCTTGGCTTCTTGGGAGGACATCTTGGACTCTGGTCAGAAGGGAGGAGGAACCCTTAGAGGCAAAGGCCCTGAGAAGGAAACCACCCGCAGTCCTCTTGAAATGGGGAGTCACCTGCCTCCCTAGGCGGAGGTTTAGTCCCAAGGGATTTGGTAATGGTCCCAGTCAAAAGTCCCCACCCTGCCTCAACCTCTCTCTCTGCCTCTGGGTGGGTCCCTCCCGCTTGTGTCTGTCTCTGGTGCTTTCTGTAGAGCTTCCCCAGGGCAGAAGACACCCAGGCAGCACACTCAGGTCCATCCATTCTGAAGGCTGAGTGAAAAGCAGCTTTTATCTTATCAAATCTTCTCCTCTGACTTCAGGGCTGTCTGCTTTTGCCCAGAGGGAAAGCCTGCAGCAGACAGGAGGCAGGGGCTGAAGCCTGGAGGATCTGGGGGCTCTAGAGAAAGACCCTGGGGCTCTGAAGAGGGGCCGGGTACAGAGGTACCGAGTTCCTCGGTCTTGTCTCCCTTGTGCCATCTTCTCTACGAATACAACCTAGATGTTTTCCTCTTCCTGCCTACCCCTGTAAATTATTAATAAGCAAATTGGGGGGAGCACATTTCCTCCCTGATCCCAAGGTTCCTTCATGGGAGTCACCCATGACATGCACAGGCAGAGTGAGCACCACACCTTGGGAAGAAGGAGGTGTGGGGGACTCCAGAAGGAAGGAGAGCCCTGGGGTGGGGGTGGCCTTCTTGCTTTCTGCTTGCTGAGTGATTTCCAGGTCTTGGCTTCAGCCTTTTCATTTCTAACATAAGATGCCTGGGTCCCTCCTTCCTCAGAGGTTGCCTGATTTCTGAGCATATGGAAAAGCACAGCCCAGTTCCTTAGGCATAAAGAGCCTGGCACCGCCACCTGCCCTGCTCCCCCAGCAATCTCAGCCACATCCTGAGATTAAAGGAGCAACTGATCCCAGGGAAACACAGGCAGGGAAAGCTTAGCACAACCAGAGCAGGGCGCTGCCCAATTCCAGTGGCTGCCTACGGTACGCACCCACATACATACACACACACACACACACACACACACACACACACTCCCTTCTTAGAGCACTGTGACTCCCCAGAGCATTCTGGGCCAGAACAGAACTGGCCTAAGTCTACCGGGCTGCACATGCTTTGAGGCCCCAGAGCAGTGGATCCCAGAGGGTTAAGTCCTCTGCCATAACTGACCTCTGACCAGGACTTCACCAGCACAGCACACCTCAGGGTGAAGGCGTTTGCTGAACCCTCAGCCAGTGCTGAGAGATTTGTCGTTTCCACTTTTCAGCAGAGAACACTGAAACTCAGCGAGATTGAGTGAAGGCCCAGGCTCACAGACCCAGGCACTGGCAGGCCTTCACACCAGCAGTGTCCTGTTCACTGGTCCTCACACATTCTGGGCCCTGGCTTTCCAGCACAGAGCGTCCGCTGTACCCAGCTCAAGACAGTGAGGCCTAGGGGCTTCTCACGGTCCCTGCTCAGAGAGGCATGGGTGGGGCACGCTTACCACTATGTGCTCCCAGAGGTTCTATGGGAGGTGGAGCCCTGAGTCTGCCCTGGACACAGTGACAGCTGTGGAGATATGTTCCCTGAGCCCCTCTGGATAAATAGATGCTTAAAATAGTACAGAGGTGTGGCCATCTGTGCAGGGGATGGACAGGGAGGCAGCTTCCCTTTCCTTGCCTCTCCATATGCCCTGGAACCCAGGGGGCAGCAAACAGCTCCTTTCCCGCCCTGGACTCACACCAAGAGTGGATCTGAGTTGCCCCTTGGATCGGGGATGAGATTGGCAGAAGAGCAGCTGGTTTTCCAGGGAAGCCTCCGAAGTGGGCAGGGGTCTGCCCACTCGACAAAAAAGAGAGAGATGCCCGCTCCTAGCAATCCTGGTTGCATGGGGCCCCCAGATGGAAAGCAGTCCGAGCACATTAGCTGCGGAGCACGGCAGAAAGTGCTGGGGAAAGAGGGGTGGGGTGCAGCCGGGCAGACGCCCACTCCTGCAGACTTCTTCCTCTCTGTGTTTGGTGACTTCACGTGGCTGCATTGAGATTAGGAACGTCCAAGAAGGTTAGAAATTGAGAGCTTTTTCTTTCTTTTGGAGACCTGAGTGTTTCAACTTAGCCAAAAGAAAGGAAGCATTAGAAGGGAAAGGAATGGTGCTGATGGGATTGGGATTGGTGACCTTCAAGGGTCCAGAAGCAGCGCAGCCCTCTGTATGAGCCTTAATATCCCAACGATGTTGTCATCCATAATCTGGAACCTTGGATTATGCAGATCTTGAGACAGGGAAATAGAAGCTCAAGACTAAAGAGGGGCAAGTGGTTTTCTGAGAATTGGTGGAAGGAATAGGGCATGAATCCCAGCACTCTCCCACTCTAAAGTGCCCTGAAGGCCTAACAAACACCCTAAAACCATAAAGAGGATTCCTTTTAAGTCTGTAGAGACTGAGTGACTGGGAATTGTACACTACTGCCTGTTCTCCATGCGGATGTCTTTACCCTTCATGAGGAACCCAGCTCCCAGCTCCTAGTAGGTCCTCAAATGCTTGGTGAAATGAATGAAGCCACCTACTGTGCGTCAGGCTCTTTGCCAGGCATCATGATAGGAAATGAACAGGAGGACAGCTTCCTGCAGAGAGGGGCTCAGGATATGTGGGGACTGGGCAGTGCTGAGCTTAGATAGAATGCTGGCACATGCCCACCTCTGAGGGTTGCAAGTGAGGGGTGCACTCTGGGCCACACAAGCTGATTGTCTGCCTCTCCATATCTCCACCCCACTAAGGAGAGCTGTGGCCCTGCCTGGCAACGCCCGGATGTGTGCTTGTCTCTGTTTCTAGCACATGATTTTGCAGGAGCAAAGGGATTGTTATGGAATAGACATAAATGATAAAGGGAGTAAGTCTCCTTCTAGCCACTTCTTTAGCCACCAGGAGTTCACTCAGGCCACATGAAGAACCCAGAGAAAAGAAGCTGGGTCTACGAGATAAGGGACATGGAGAGTGAGGCCCTTCAATGCCACTTTTAAGGCCAAACCTGGCTGCCAGAGCATGCTGGGCGGTGCCCCAGACAGAGCAGATGACACCCCACTGCAGGGTGTGTGGGAGGTCAATGTTCCAGGAAGGATAGCGTCTCCCAGGAAGAAGGGGTCTGCTCTGGGCTTGCCTTGGGCAGAGCCTAGCCTCATCCTGCAAATCCTGAGCTCCCTCCTCAGCTCTAGAACCTTCTGCTTCTGCTCTGCCCTTCTGTCTCCAACTAAGCCCACTCATGGGCATTCACTTTGAAAGTGGACTGAAAAGAGACAATGGCCAAGAAAATCAACAATTCTACTACCACTTTCAAACCAGCTACAGACAGGTCTAGCGAGCCAATGCTGAAATAAGTCACTATTCCATCACTGTGATTGAATGTTCCAGTCCACGGGATGTCTTGGAGCAAATGTTTCACCTCAGATCAGCTGCCGCGGCCCATGTTGCTCCTTCGCTGTATAGATTTATGCTTTGGCAGCGGGAAGATTTTTAGTGCAGACCTGAAGAAAAAAATATGGCTTACATCTGCTCCCTTCTCTCTTCCTCCACCAAGCAGGCCATCCCCCCAGGTTTTGCTAGGTTGTAGGGTCCTGGGTTCCTTCTTAGGGAAGTGTGGTGCTCCACGATGCTTGGGTCTAAGCCACCCACTGAGTGTGATCGGCCTTTTCATGATACCTAGAAGGGGTGATGCCTAGACTGCGGTGTAGGAACAGAGCCGAGAATCCTCATGCTTGGCTTCTGCGCCTCAAGGAGGTGGAGGCAGGGCCCTTCAACCAGCATCTCTCTCCAGGCAGCACCTTGACGCACACACACACACACTCATGCATGCACATGCTGGTGTTGAGTGTGAAATATCGTATTATTAGGAAAGCCCTGTTGGTGATTGAGCAGTTAGGTGTCTCTACTTATTCCTTCCACCTAGTGGGTATTGCAGTATTATCTTGTGACTCCACAAAACTGCCCGAGATGTCATCCGGCTCACTAGACAAGTTTCCTGTCACTACTACATCTGTCCTGGAGCACCTTCAAGACCTGTATGTGTTCATCTGTGGGTGGCCCAAGTAACCTGACTTGACCTCTGCGCTCCTTCTAAAAGACCAGGAAGCCCGTTGAGAAGCCAACCAAGCTTGGGTGTGGGGCAAGCCCAAAGCAAACACCATCTCTACTTGGCCTTTGCGCCTTGCAAGTGCTCCTGAGGCGCCCAGTCCCAAAGGCCCTGCTAGGGACACAGCAGGCTCTGGGGCCGCTGGCCAGAGGGGTCGGAAATGGTATTTATAGAGCAGTGACCTTTCTTCCTCTCCCTTGGGTTTCAGGTTTCCCTGGGTCTCTCCTCTTGCCTGGGGAAGAGGAGGAGGGAGAAATGTCAGCTCGCAAGAGGGGATGAGAGAAGCAGCCTTCCTGCTTCCCTCCGGCCAACTGGTGATGGCGTGCCAGGCACCATGAGGGTCGAGGCTGGGCTGCACTTGGCAAAGTCCGAGCAGTGCTTGGTGATTCCAGACAGACACCTGGGGGATGGCATAGACAGCCCACTGCCCACGCCCCCAAGCCAGGCCAGTAACCATCAATGCTTCCCAGGGTTCCACCAGGGATCTCTCATACCGACAGCTCTAGATGCAATGGAGCAGGGGGTGCTGGCCAAAGGCCTTAAAGAGCAAAAGGAGGTTGGGTAAAAAAGGGAAGCTCTGTGTTTCTCAGGAGCAAAACATCATTGAAGGGATTGCAGGGACTCCTGAGAGTTCCAGTGGGGTTAGGGTAACTAGGAAAGGCTTGGTATGAGTGAATGTCCAGCAGAGATTGAAAGAGGAGAGGGGAAACATCAGACAGTCCATTCTGCTAAAATGTTAAGTAAATAATAAACACCTCCAGCCAGGGACAGAGGGGCTTAGGAAGCTAAGTATAGTCCCTGAAGGAATCTTGGGGCTGGGTCCTCAAACACATTCATCTCTGCAGTGGAAACTTCTCTTGACAGCAAAAGTCGTGGCAACTAGGGCAGAGAAAAGCTGGAGATGGGGGAGGGAATCCTGCAGGGAAATTACTCAAGTTTACTCAGCTCCATGGCATCTGCTGCTCTCCTTAAGCAGCCAGGGCCTTGGGACTCCGGGGACTCCCCTGTAGCCCAGGGAGTCAGGTGAGCTTCCTGGGGAAAGGGAAGGAATGAAGCCAGGCACTGGGACTTCCTGGGCTCCAGGGCGTCCTCAGGGGCAGGCACAGAGGTGACGCTCTGGAGGCACCCAGGTCTCACGTCTGCTAGACTAGCGCTCTGCCACGGAGCTACACCCCAAGCCGCTGAGACTCTGCTCTACAAAGCAAACCATTCGCCATCTCTGTAGCTGGCACTGACGGCCTCGTCTCCTTCTGACATCTCAGTACCTCCTATGGATGTTTCCTCGGTTTCCTTGCCCCTCAAACCCGCACAGATTGTCCCTATTTTAGAAAACAGAGAGAGAGAGGCAGAGAGACAGAGACACAGAGACAGAGAGACACAGACAGAGACAGAGAGAGACAGAGGCAGAGACAAAGACACAGAGAGACAGAGACATACACAGAGAGAGAGAGAAAGAGAGAGAGAGAGAGAGAGAGAGAGAGAGAGAGAGAGAGACAGAGACAGAGACAGAGAGAGACAGAGAGAGATCAAAGCAATCTTCACTTCTGATAAGCTCCCTGGACCGCCCTCTCATTTTTTTTTTTCTCCTTATTCCTGCAAAGCTTTTCAAAACAACTGGACTTTAAACAAACACATAAACAAGCGCCTGCCTTTTCCTGTCACTCTCCCTTCTGGATCATGCTTCTCCACCTTGTAGCCACTGCATACCTATGCTGTGCACCGCCAAGTCCGATGTCCTTTCATTTCAGGCTTTTTTCTCCAACCACACTGCACTGGCCCAGTGCTACCACACTGATCTCCCATGGACATTATTTTTATTTATTTATTTTCTACTTGAGAACTGCAAATGGTTCTCACATGCCTCGTGAGTCAAAGTGAAACTTTGAAGACCCTCTCTCACAGGTAACCTCTACCTGTTCACAGCAGCAGCCTTCTAACGTCCTTCTTCATTTATGAATTCTTGGTCCAGCGACAATCTAGCTGCTTGAGGATCAGCAGCCAGGAGGGTACAGGCAAAGCTTTTCAAGACTCTGAGCTGCTGGGGCTGGGGAGCTAGCTCAGCAGTCTAAGTGCCTGCCTGGCAGACGCAAGGACCCAGATTTGATCCCTGGCACCACATGCTGTGCCAGCCCTGGAATCCCAAAGCCCAGGTGCACCATGCCGGCCACAGAAACGTGGCATGGTGGCGCAGTCCTGTAATCTCAGTGCTAGGGAGACTGAGGCAGGAGGATCACTATGAGTCTGACCTATGTAGCAATTCCCTATACCAAATAAATAAATGAATAAAAGATAACCAAAAAAAGATTCTGAGCTGACTCAATCCTGTACACAGCTTAATTATCCCAAGTCCTCTCGGGGGCCCACAGAGCACCTGTCATAATCCTCAGGAGAGGTTTCGGGTGTTTGTGCTGGTGCAGATACCTTGGTCACATGTGGGGCCGACATGCTGACATTTTGGGTGACTCTAAGCAGCTCTGGCTAGGTTAGAGACTCACTAGTGGAGAAGCAGTTTGGGTGTGCTGGGTTGGGCGAGATGTTAGAAATGGGGCTTGGAGATCTTTCCTAGTGACCAGTGTAGGTGTGAACTCTCCTCTTCAGTTTTTTGGGGTTTTTTTGGTGCAGGGTCTCACTACATAGCCCACATTAGTAGTGATCCTCTTGATTTCTGCCTCCCAAGTGCTGGGATTACAGGCACAAACCACCGTGCCGACTCCATCGCTGGCTCAGCACACCCAGAGGTGAGCTATACCGCTGGCCCTGAACTCTCTTCAGACAAATACTGGGACACGTTCCTGCCTTTTTCTCACATTTACATAGGAAAGACCTGCTTATGCAACAGTCATTATGCTGAGGAGATCCATCTCCTCCAGGCTGGTCCTAGCAAAAGGAACTCAAGGTTCTCTCCCCATCCCTTTATCTCCTCAACCTACAGGGAGCGGCTGCCTGTCAACTTCTTTAAGTTTCAGTTCCGGAATGTGGAGTACAGCTCTGGGCGGAACAAGACCTTCCTCTGTTATGTGGTGGAGGTGCAGAGCAAGGGAGGCCAGGTGCAGGCCTCGCGGGGCTACCTGGAGGACGAGCACGCTGCTGCCCACGCGGAGGAAGCCTTCTTCAACACCATCCTGCCGGCCTTCGACCCAGCCCTGCAGTACAACGTCACCTGGTACGTGTCCTCCAGCCCCTGCGCAGCTTGCGCCGACCGCATCATCAAAACCCTCAGCAAAAGCAAGAACCTGCGCCTGCTCATTCTGGTGGGGCGACTCTTCATGTGGGAGGAGCCGGAGATCCAGGCAGCACTGAGGAAGCTCAAGGAGGCTGGCTGCAGACTCCGCATCATGAAGCCCCAGGACTTCGAGTACGTCTGGCAGAATTTTGTGGAGCAAGAAGAGGGGGAATCCAAGGCCTTTCAGCCCTGGGAGGATCTTCAGGAGAACTTCTTATACTACGAAGAGAAGTTGGCAGACATCCTGAAGTAGACATCCGGCCTTGTCCTCCTGTGAGTTCTCCCGGGTCCATGGCGCTGTGCTGGCTGCTAACTTGGGCAGAGGGCGTGAGGTTGGGTGGAATGAGTGGTGTGACGCTGATTTGCCTTTGGATGGATTACATTTCTCTGCTTCTGGTTGACTGCAAAAACATGTTAGAACAGTGCTTCGTTTTTGTCTTTCTTTTGAATCCCTCTCCCTAAATCCCCTTTTATCTCTCCTATTACCTTTTCATTACAAACCTAACTTTCCCATAACTTGGGAAACCCAAGGGTGATGGAGACCCTAAAGCTCTGTGGTAGAATGCCCCTGGGTAAGATTTAGATGGCACAAAGGCCTACTGCTGGGTAACAGCAGAGACAGTTAAAGCCCTAAGAGTGCCCCAATACACATGCCCTGGTGTGCCCAGGGCACCATCTCGAGGTCCTGCTCCGAATCCGTTTGCACTTTTAACCTCCATGTTTTCTCTACCACAGGATTTTCACCCTTCAGGGGCAACTCTTTCATCTTTGGGGATTCTCAAATCCCCAGGAGGATTTGCATTCAACTTTTGTTATTGGCCAGACCTGCTTTCATGTTTTCAAACAAATGGTTATGCTTTGAGGGAGATGGATAATTGCTGTGTGAATGCATAATGCAGGAGCCTTTTCCTCGCTGAGAAGAGCGCGGCAGAACTCGTGGGAAGGCAGACGGAAGGACTGGGCAACGCAGCAGGCCAGCTGACGTGGGATTTGGGAAAGGGTTAAAAAGGATGTCTGTAAATGAGGTGGCGCCTCAGAAGTAGCCTCCTACAGATATCAGAGGTGATAGGAGAACTGGAAGTAAAGATTAGCTATTTAAGCAAATAATTAGGACACAATTAAGGCCAATTTGGCCTCTTGCTGAGGGTAAATTAGACTTTCAGAGAAACAGGCCAATTATCCTCAGTAAGAAGGGTGAAGGATCCTTTACCATCTTTTGAATTTGGTCCGTTCTAGCTTGTCCCCCGCAGAAACACTGGCCGAACCAAGCCCTGTGTAACACCAGAATCACTGGTCAAACCACTCTCATTGGCGGCTTTAATTCTGGAACAAGTCACATATTAATAAAACATGAAAGCAGCAAGCCTCCATGAATGCAATGCAATTCATTGTTGGTGTTTCTCATGCCTAATACCCTTAAGAGAAGATGCTGATTCTTAAGACATGCTAAAGAAATATCCGTGCGTCAGAAGCCACTGCTGGCAGGAGCTTCCTGTTAGGCAGGCGCACACATGGCTGAGCACCCTCAGGCCGAGGACCCCACAAACCAGCAACATATGTCTACACTGAGCTATTGCCAAGAGGCAGCGGGACCTGGCCCAGCTTCGGAAGGCCTATGGTAGGGTGAGGCCGGTGGAAACTCTGCTCACGCACAGAAACAAAGCGCTGAGAGACAGTAAAGATAGGTTTCCGAATGACCTCTGAAAGTATGAAATACCCTAAAGAACTTGTGAGTAGGTACTATACCTATAGATGCAATATAGACCACAGAATGACAACTGGTAGGTTAGTTTTGACCCTGATACACTTTTTTGGGGGGTCTTTTTGAGACAGGGCTTTACTATGCATTTCTGGTCCACCTTGAATTCATTTTATAGCCCAGGCTAGCCTCAGGCTCAGCAGCAGCCCTCCTGCCTCAGCTTCCCAGGCACTGGGATTACAGACATGAGCCGCCATGCCCAGCTTTATGCTTTCTTCTTAAACATCTTTTGTGGGCCACTTCTAGCGACCTCACTAGCAAGTCCTTAAACATTTTGTTTTGGTGCAGGGATTTTTTCAACTAAAAGCAAGCATTCAAGGAAGATTTAAAAGATCTTTTGATGTCTGGATAAGGATTGCATCTGATATGAAGAGAAATAAAGCACTTTGAGAGAAAAGTTCATTTCTAAGTCAGATTTTTAAAATACGGAATGACTGGGCATCTCCCTTTAGTGGACAAGACAACTGTCTCTCCGAGCCTAGGAACACACCTCCCGGCCCCAAGTTGCTCTTTGCTCCTGAAGAGGTGAAAATGTACCGAGTTTTAAAGGCATGAAATACACTCGTAACCTAAAAGCCCCAGAGAACAACCATGCTTAATTAAAAAACCCCCACAGAATGAGCAGTTAAATAAAATGTGCCTTGTATTCATTACCTATCTTATGTTTAATAATAATGTTAAACCATATATTTGAATCAAAAGAACAGAACAGAAGCACATCTCTTCTAGGACTTTTTTTTTTCTTGGCAGAACTGGGGATTGAACACAGGCCCTGCGCTTGCCAGAAAGCACTTATTCCACTAAGGCATTGCCCCAGCCTCTCTTCCAGGACTTTTTCTCTGTGAACCAAAACAAAACACGAATAAAAGAAACCCAATTCCTGGCTCAGCCACAGGAGATGACAGATGAGTAACCTGCTGTGTCGTCACAAAGGTCCCCCTGCTGCCACCAATGAGAGCAGGGACGTGTGTGGGCCATCTAGGATATCACATGCCTGTCGTCCAGACATCACTGAAGCTGACTGGCACTGACAGCAACCAATCAGTCCTACCAGATGCCCTCAGTAGATTCCAAATACTCTTACACACTGCTGTGATTCATTTAGGCTGTCTCTTCCCACCCCCACCCCCACCCCCCGCCCCATGATGAAGTGATGAAGGAGATAAGTGAGCCACAAAGAGCAAAAGCACCAGGCTCCTGGGGCCCAGGGTCTTCCTGACTCCATGGTGCAGCTGCTTAGGCAGAGGCCTCGGGCCAAAGATACAGAGCCTTGAGTATGTCCAGAACAACATTTTATGTTCGGTTGGACTGTTTTGTTTTTTAAAAGAAAGAAAAACAACATCAATAAAAGAAATAGTGTGGTTTTGCTGTGGCCTGGTTTCTTAAGGAACGTAGGCACCAGAAGTTACCACAGACAATGAATCCCCAGCCTAGGGTTGTCCTGGGCCAGGAACCAAGCCCTGGCATTATGTGAGAGAAGATAAAACCTGCTGGGTGTGGTGGCACACATGTGTAATCCCAGCACTCCGGAGTCTGGGATAAGAGGATCACTAAGAGTTCGAGACCAACCTGGGCTAAATTGTGAGTCAAGGCCAGCCTGAACTATACACTAAGTCCCTGTCTAAAATTTTAAAAATACAAAATTTTAAGAAGCCAATTAAACTAAGACGTGTCTGGACAACACAGGAGGTAACATTCCTGTGCAGACCTCCCACCCCTTGACCTCTAAGATGTATTTTCCTGAGATTACTTGCAAATGAGAGTTTGTCCCTTTCTGACTATGGCCAAGGATGGAGCTAAAAGCACAGGGAAGGCTGAGAGCTACATCCCAATTGCTGATTAATAAGCCATTAGCAAGGGCCGGCCAATAGCTCAGCGGATTAAAGCACCTGCAAGCAGGTGCAGGGGCTGGGGGTTCAATTCTTCGGCCTGCCATGCTAGCCCCGCTCCCAGGGCACACTGAGATGGCAATTAAGACTGGGTGTGGTGGCGTGCGCCTGTAATCCTAGCTCTTGGAAAACTGTAAAAAGGTAGATCACGACAAGTCCCGTCTAGTAGTGAGGTCCTGAGTACCCTGTAGATCCTTCCCTAAAAAATACAAAGAAAAAGAACTAAGCAATTAGCATGTTGATCAAAGAAAGGCAGGCAGGAAGGAGGAGCTCAGTGTCCAGACAGGTGTCTCAGAACAGCCATGCATGGTTCTGGGCAGCGATGGCAGGGGGCGCTCAAAACCTCGTTTCCTGTAGTTTACCTTATGAGAAAAATGTGGCATATGAAGTTTTGGGTGTTTGCCAAACTACTGGGTTTCCAAGAATACTGTGCTCCTTCTGGTTATCAGGCCAGGCCTCTGTCACCCCAGGCCACAGGGGCAGCAAGTCACTGGAATTTGACCCCAGGCCTATTGCACCCACGAAGCACTTTATCACACCCCTGTGGAGTCCTGGAATTCCACTTACAGCCAGCCCTGGATAAGACATGTTCTGTTAAAAGAATCAAGGTTCATACTCCACGAAAACATTAACTGTAACCTCGATTTTAAAGTAAAGGAAGCCTAGAGAACCAATGTTTTGACCCAAGTATTAAGACTGACTTACACAGGGGGATGGGGGTGAACCTTAGAGATAAAGCATTTGCCTAAACTGCACAAAGCCCTAGGTTCAATCCTGAATATGACAAAAGAAAAATGAGCCACTTCAATTCTGTTCCTTTGCCAACGTTCATTTTCCATTCTGTGCAGGCATTCCCTCCTTCCGTTCTTCCCTCCAAGTCTATCTGGTGTCAGTAGAAGCGAAGTGTTCAGAAAAGACACAGCCTTACATTTTCTAGTGGAACGCGTGCATGCCCAGCACCCACGGCACCTGAGCTTGCCTGCTTCCCACACTGACCCTGAGCTAATGAGGTTCGGAAACCGCTGCCGGGTGCAGGCTGAAATGGAATAAGAACGCAGCCTGACGTCCCAAGACTATACTTGAGCAGGCTTTCCTTTCCTGGCATCTTAGTAAGTCCCCTCCTAGAATCCTGCCATTCTGTTACACGAGGGAGTGTAGCCCACCTGACATTCACTCCAGTTTGGCTATTTTAAGTCTCAGCCCCACAGCAAGCGAAGAAAGAAAAGTGCCTCTTTCATCTGGTGGCTCCCATTTTAAGAACCACCTGCCGGACCCTGCAGTGCACTCCTGTCATCCCAGCCCTCGGGAGGCTGAGGCAGGAGGATCAGTGTGAATTCCAGACCAGCCTGGATTACAAAGTGAGCTCAAGGCCAGCCTTCACCACATATCAAGACTCTGTACCTCTGGCCTGAGTCATTTCTCCATGCCGAGATCTGCCAGGCATGAAATAGGTGGGAAGTGTCCAGTGTTTCCAGTTACACAAGCGCAAAGAACAGATCCACACCCAGGCGCCCAGCTATGCTGATCCCCAGCTTTCATCCATTTTTTTCACTTCTTCCCAGTGGACCAGCTGGACCCGTCCAGATAAAGCTACAGGTTCACCCACAGTCATCTCATTCCTGATCCACCCAGGCACAAGCACTGAATCCTAAGTTTTATTTTTCCACTTTTATCACCAAAAATTCCGTGTTAACAATGTCAGGCTCCATTTTGTAATTGAAAACAAAGCAACCCCTGAAGCTGGTGCATAAGAATAATACCAAGGTAAGCACACAGACAAGATCCCCCTAACTCAAAGTTCAGTGCTCCAGAAATTTCTTTCAAATATCAGAAAAATCAATGCTGCCACCTAGGGGCCAGCCAAGGAATTGAATGCTACTATATTGAAGTAGAACATACTGTGGGTTCCAGTCTGGCTTTCCTGGCTAACATCAGGCCACCTACTCCTGACCTTGCTGCAGCAATCACAGCAACAGCCCCAAGAAACCCCTCCTCCAGTCCTAGTCCAAACAGAAGAACGCAGCAACCCCAGCCCAATCTATAACCCTGAGTGCTTTGTGCGAAAGCCTTCCTCACCCCTTAAGTCTTATTATGGCCAAGTAGGGAAGACCCCAGAGGACACCGACACATCCGAAATGTGCTCCACTTGTTCATAGTGTGTACACGGTAATTCTGATATCTGTTGCCTCGAATACTTCCTCAATTATTGCAGACACATTTTCCCATTGCAGGCGATCAAGACCACATCCAATCCTAAAAAAGACGAAAGAGCTCCATTGGTTAGACGAAGTTACCTAAGAAATTGCTCCACCCCTCTTCTATGGACAGCATCTACCCAAAGCGTTGCCACAGTAACCTGGTCACGCCTACAAGTCAAGTCTGGGCAAATTAGCCCAAGCTCATTCCTAGGTAGCTCTGACACCCCGCAGTTCACTCTTCATCCCCTAATAAGGTACCATGTACAATTATCTCACACTCCCCTGAGAACTGCCTAACCCCACCATGACACAGCGGACTCTATCCTGTTATCTGTCCACTGAAGCAAGCTGGAGGTAGGTGGACAGGAAAGATCATATTTTCCAAAATGCGTTTATGATGATGGAATGTTAAGATGAAAATATGTAGGCCAAGTGCCAGGGTCACCATGGCCAGAAAGCAAGCTGGGAAAGGCAGACTTGCTTGCAGTCTGCTTAAAGTCAGAAAGCACTGGTGACTTATTTATTTATTTATTATGTATTTAGTACAGGTCTCACTACGCAGCTTGGGCTTGTAGTGATCCCGTGTCAGCCTCCCTAGTGCTGGGATTGCAGGCAAGCACCACCACACCCAGTCTCAGTGGCCAGTTCAACATACAGTACTGGGGATCAAACCCAGGTCCTAGGCAGGCACTTAGATTGCTGAGCTATCTCTGCGGGCCTCACTGGTGACTTTTAAGCCTGGACATTTGTTTATATCTAAATTTTCAGTTAAGCTTTAAAGTTGTTTGTCTTTTGATAAAAAAATAAGTAAACCCCACCCATCAATTCAGCCTCCTCCAGGCCCCCAGATTTCCTTGCCTGGGCATGGAAAGGTCGGTGACTCCATTCTTCAGACAATGGGACTTCATGGCCTCTAAGCTCTTCTGCAAGTTCTCGTAAGTTGGCTTGTGGGAAGCCCTTTTCTTTGTGATCTGAACAGAGTAAGGATTCACTCTTGTTAGCCCAAATAGCAGGCAATAAAAAGTCCATCAGATTCTTCCCTAGCCTGGTAATTAAACGAGTTAGTACAGAGCAATTCATCTGAAGGAGGGACGGCAAACATCACACTGCTCCATCCAGACTGTTAAGGAAGAATTCCAGAAGATCCACTCCACAGGGCCTGAGAAGCCCAAAAAGGGCCGTGCAGCAAGCTCTCAAGTTGAGCCTATTCTCAGCAGTTTTCTTTTTTTTCCGGAACCGGGGACTGAACTCAGGCCCTTGCGCTTGCCAGGGAAGCGCTTATTCCACTGAGCCATCTCCCCAGCCCCTCTCAGCAGTTTTCAAGCAAACAGTGTCTGTATTACTTCCAAGAGCTAAGCTGCATATCTGGAATAAGGAAGATCCCCAGAACACCTGCAAGTATCATTAAGTCTACTTAAGATCTGTGCAGGCTTGCTTTTTGTTTCTTTATTAAAGAATAGAGAGGGGCTGGAGAGATGGCTCGGTAGAATAAGCGCTTCCCTGGCAAGCACAAGGGCCTGAGTTCAATCCCCAGTTCCACCAAAAAGAAAAAATGAATGAATGAATGAATGAATGAATGGAGAAACTGGTAGTTTTAAAAAATAAAAATGCTAAAAGTCTCATGAGCTTTAAGGGACAGAAGGGCAAGACATCTACCCCCACTAAGTATGGTGTCCAGATCAGGGGCGCGTACACACACACACACACACACACACACACACGGGGTCAAAGCCTGGACAGATGAAAAATCCCACGTTCAGGCCACAGGTAGGCAAGCAGCTAGGTGCCACCTGGCACTGCACTGACAGCCCTGAAGGAGAGGACACTCTCTGGGGAGCCTGTCTCTGTTTCTACCTCACTGTGAAGAGGCAAGAATTAAAGTAGAGGAAGTGTCCCTGCACTCATGAGCCTCAGACACAATGATGGCGGGTGGCACAGCTGCCCACAGTGCTGGGCCGTAGCCTCCTGCTCCTTCCTATACTGGGTTCCAAGTGCCTGCACCCCTGGACCCAAGTTGCCTTTTGATGTCCTTGGGTGTCCAGAAAGGAGCATGGCCATCAAGACACATGCACTGCAGCCCCTCCACACATCTGTAGGCCGTGTGCACACCTGCTTCCATCTTACCAGGTAATAGATGTATCTTCCTTCTCTCTTCAGGACAGCCACTTCTCCAGGCTTCTTCTCTATGAAAAAGTTATTTAGTAGCAGAAAGGAAAAAAGAAAACCAAATCACTGCATCTCTATGCTTCAAGTGTTTTTAATCTTTATGGGTTTGGGTTTATATCAGAACTAGAAATAGTTTTCAGCTGTAAATAAGTCTTTGTGACCTTTCAGCTTATCACCAGCCCAAATACTGCACCCCTTAACTTACAGCACATTTATAATCGCGCTTGCCCACATCCCATCCTCATCCTGCTTCTGCCTTCAAGTATATTCACTCGTCCACTTAAAAAAATATTGCGCGTCAATCACCTTGAAATTGTTTCAGAATGAACCATTTTTAAAACTGCCACTTGTTCATTCAAAAATGATTCCCTTTTGAGACTAGACGTGTGGCACGTTTGTAAACAGGCGGATCACTACCAGTCAAATCTAGTAGTGAGACCCTGAACACCCTGTATTCCCTTTCCTAACAGACAAACAAAACAAAAAAAGATCCCCTTTCACATAAGGTGGTGTTAAACATAATGAAAAAGTCACAAATAATCAAAATAGAAAGTAATAAATTGTTGTTGTCTAAAGCTAGAATCAGAATAGTAGATACTCTGATTCAGGAAGCCTAAAGAATTTGGTCTGAGAAACTTGTTTCTGAAATTCCCTGTGTGATTCTAACGGTAGCTCTAATTTAAAGCGACAGGGGCAGCAAGATAGCTCTGCAGCCTACAGCACCTGCTTTGGCAAGCTTAGGCAAGCAGGCAGGCACCACATGCCATGCCAGCCCCACCCCAGGGTGGGCTGAGCTGGCCACACACACAAAAATAATAATAATAATATAATAACAGTACTGGTGGGAAAAGATGAAGAGACCTGTAAGGACAAAAAGGTTTCTAAACCTCTACTTGAAAAATAAGTATGCAGCAAATAAAATGCCTTGACTGTCAAGCAAAGATCAGGGGGTTTTGCTGTACACGTCAGTTCTTAGAAGTTTTAGAAAAGTGGAATAATATCAAGAAAATTCCATGGGAAAGGAGAAAGAGATTAGAAATTTGTACAAGATTTCAGATTTAGTGTGAAAAAGAAAGCTGCTCGTGGGAAGAAAAACAATCTGAAAAAAGCACCGTGATTGGGCACCCCTCTTTGTAATAATAATAAATATATTAAATATTACTCTAATAATTAAAATATAGCAGGTGCTCTAAAGGTATTCCACCCAAGGCAAAACAGGTTGGCTGTTTCCAAAACTCACGTTGATTTAACAGCTCCTGCACCCCTCCAAATTTCTTCTTGAAGAGGACAGCTATCCCAGCGCCCATGCGACAATCCTCACTGATACAGTGGGCTAGAGAGTCTGTCTTGGGGCAGGCAAAAAGGTCGCCTTTCACATACGTGATCTAAAACGTGCGGAGGGAAAGAAGATGCTTTATTAAGTACAGAGAAGCATCGAGCCAATTCATGTCTTCAGCCTGTCCCCATCCCTATTTCTTTCCCACTCCTCCCAGTTGGAATTGAAGTCTAATCCTCTGAACTGAAAGAGCTAATCACAGCGAATTAAACCCAGTGTAAAGCGGTCGTGATGGATGGTCCCTGCCTGGAATTGTATTAGCCTTTCTTAAGTAAATCAGCGAGGGAGAAACAAAAAAAGACAATCCAATTATTGGTTTAATGTAAAAAAGCGTTTATGCTTTTGACCTCCAACATTCTGAATTTCGGTTCACCGATAAGTTAATAGCCGCTACGCACTCTGCTTCCTTCTGGATCTTCATTGAGGCTGCTGGCCATGACACTGAGCCGCTATTTTCACACTCTGTGTCTTCTGTTAGGAGAAGGGAACAGTACAAACGCTAAGACAGCCTGAATGTGCGGCGTTCAGACTGCCCTGACCACCCACTCACGAGGCCCTCTGCTGCCCCCAACGCCCATCGCTGGGTGTGACCTCGCACCGCGCCCAGGGCGCGACGCCACCCTGCGCCGGACCGGAGGACCGGCTGGGCCCGGCTCTCCTTGAGCGCCTTCCAGGAGCGGAAGCCGAGCGGCCCGGCCCCGCCTTCTCGACTCAGGACGGCGTCCCCTCCTCGGCCGGAGGCAGAAGTACGTCCCCAGCGCATCTGGCGCAGAACGCGGTGGGACTTGGCTGCCAACCCGTTCAAAGGCAAAAGAGAGTGTGCGGGGCGGTGGTGCCACAGGGGCCCCCAGACTCTCCCACCCTGGCTGCGAGGGCGGGGACCCGGACCTGGGCCCCGAGGAGGGCGATACCCGGGTTACCCGTCACCTGCAGAGCCGGCCGCTGGGAGGTCCCCGCCCCGCGAGAAGGGGCTCGGGCCACCCCTGGTAGGTGGGGAACACGACCAACCCCGACGCGGAGCCAATCCCGCCCCAGCCTCAACCGCACTCGCACCCAAGATGGCCGCCCCCGCCCCGTCGCGGAGGAAACGCGCCACTCTAGCCAGGGAGCCGAGCCGGTTCTCTGTGGCCCTCGCGGCACTTCCGGCGGGAAACTGCGTGGTGGCCCGCCGCCGCCCGCGCATGCGTCCTGAGGGCCGACGCTAGTTGGGAACGATTTGCGCTTGCGCATTAGCTCCAGGGGCGTGTTCCCCCGCCCCCTCCCCTGGTCGCTTAGAAAAGGTGAGCAGTTGGCAAAAGGGCACATTAGCGCCTGCGCCGTACTGCTTTCGGGGAAGATGTTTGAGAAGGCACCGGCTCGGCCGGAAGGCGCCTGCGTAGTCCTCCGCCGGAGGTGGCGTCAAATCCAGGAAGGAGGCGGGGCTTACGCGAGGCGGCTGCGCACGGCTCCTCGGAGAGGGGCGGGGCGAGCCCGGCCGAGCCATGGGGTGTGGCCTGCGGGCGCCTGCGCGGAGGCGGTTGGAGGGAGGCCGGATTCGCCTTTGTTCGGGTTCGCCATTTTGCGAGGCAGCGGCAGTGGCGGCGGCAGCGGCGGCTGGGGCCTCTGATTGGGTTTCGGAGTCCGGTAGTGGAGCCAATCAGCGCGGGCAGCGAACCGGGGGAGCGAGGCACGGTGAGTATGAGGAGCCAATATCCAGCGGCCCAGAGCCGGCCCCAGCGCCCCGATTGGCGGGTCTCGCTGACCACTCAGGAGAGGCCCAGGCGCCCGTCGGGCCCGGGGAGCCGAGCGGG